GAGGGAGCTGGGGTGTCCGGGCCCCTGCCGGGGACACGGGCTCTGCGTTCGGGTAGCGGTACTGGGCAAGCGGTGCCTGGCCTGCGGGTTCGGCAGGTGGGTCCTCTGTAGCGTTCGTCCGAGTCTTCTGGAGGGGGGGGGCGGGTAGCGGTACTGGGCAAGCGGTGCCTGGCCTGCGGGTTGGGCAGGTGGCTCCTGTGTAGCGTTCGTCAGTGTCTTCGGGAGGGGGGAAGATCCCCTGGGGGGTGTCCCCGAGGTGCACGTGGGCTCATGCGGTTTGTGTCTTCTGCCGGTCCTTTAACCTGCGAGTGGGAAGGGCAGGGCGAGAGGTTCCTCGGTCTGTGTTTGGCGGGATCCCGGGAGTGGGGCAGAAATGGTCGGTAACTCTATTCTGCCCCGGAGCCAAGGGGGAAGTGACTTTCTTCTTTCCTGCTGCGGTTTGAGGGGCGTTATCCTGTACGTGGTCTAGTCATCTGTGCCTGTTTCCAACACTCACCGAGGGCGTTGCGTGGAGGTGGGCATCAGGCTATCTCTGGGTGGCCAGGATTTATCCCAACGTGCTAATGAATTCCTAGGAGCTGGTATATGTTCTCGCTGGCTCTTCTTCAGCCATCCACTGTAACTAATAGACTTCCCAGAAGTAGGTTTGGCCAAGGAAAAGAATGGATAGGTAAGGGAGCTTGAAAACAAACTACAGGTAAATTGATTGAAAATTGATCTAATTGTGGTAGAGCATTCCCAGAAGTAAACTTAGACTGAGCTAAGCCTTTTTTAAACAAAAATGATGAATATGCTATGTTTGTAGCTGTGTAACTAGTAGCATATAAAAATCGGTTGCATTCTACAAGTGCAACTTCTCACATAAAGACCAGGACTGAAAATGAATTAAGTAAATATTTTGATAACACATTTGTTTATACAGAAAATGCTATATTTATTTGTAAAGATTCAAAGCAACATAAGGGTGGCCGTACTGCAGGGGTGTCCAAACTTTTTTCAAAGAGGGCCAGATTTGAAGAAGTGAACATGCGTGAGGGCCGTCCCCGCACTCTCAGCCCCAAGGCGGAGGGCCTGCGGGGTCGGAGGCGGGCGGAGAGCGCAGGGCACGCCGGCCTCACGGTGGCCCAGGGGGCAGGGCGAACCCGCAGCCGAGTGGGGGAGCGGGGCTGCGGACGTGCCCTACAGGGCAGGCTCTAGGACCGCAGAGGCCATGGGTGGCGGCGGCAGCGCGGCCAGAAGCGGCGCGCTGGGTGCGCCAGTTCAAAAGAGCGCCGGGGAGCCAGGAGAGGGGGAGGAAGCGGGGGCCGTATTAAACTGGAACACGGGCCGCAATTGGCCCGCGGGCCGGACTTTGGACATGCCTGCCATACTGGGTCAGACCAAAAGTCCATTTAGCCCAGTATCCTGTCTGCTGATAGTGCCCAATACCAGATGCCCCAGAGGAAGGGAACAACAGGTAATCCTCACGTGATCCCTCTCATCACCCATTTCCAGACAAACAGAGGCTAGGGACACCATTCCTACCCATCCTGGCTAATGGGCATTGATGGACCTAACCTCCATGAATCTATCTAGCTCTTTTTGAACCCTTTTAAAGTCATAGTCTTCACATCCTCTGGCAAGGAGTTCCACAGGTTGACTGTGTGCTGAGAGAAGAAAAACTTCCTTTTGTTTTAAACCTTCTGCCTGTTAATTTTATTTGGTGACTCCTAGTTCTTATATTGTGGGAATAAGTACACATAACTTTTCTTTATTCACCAGTCATAAGTTTATAGACCACTATCATATCTTCCCTTAGTCTCTTCTTTTCCAAGCTGAAAAGTCCAAATCTTTTTAATCTCTCTTCATATGGGACCTGTTCCAAACCCCTAATAATTTTTATTGCCCTTTTCAGAACGTTTTCCAATGCTGATATATCTCTTTTGAGATGAGGCGACCACATCTGTGCTTAGTATTCCAGATGTGGGTGTACAATGGTTTTATATAGAGGCAATAAGATATTTTCTGTCTTATTCTTTATACCTTTTTTTAATTATTCCTAACATTCTATTTGCTTTTTTGACTGCTGCTGCACACTGAGTGGATGTTTTCAAAGAACTATCCACTAGGACTCTATGATCTCTCTCTTGAGTAGCTGTAGCTAAATTAGTCCCCATCATATTGTATCTATAGTTGTGATTATTTTTTCCAATGTGCATTACTTTACGTTCATCAACATTAAATTTAATTTGCCATTTTGTTGCCCAATCACTTAGTTTGGTGAGATCTTTTTGAAGCTCTTCACAGTCTGCTGTGGTCTTACTGTTTGGTCTTAATGGAAAAACAAACATGATATGTAAGCAGGACTCAAATGGCTTATAGAGCTCAGGAACACAGATCACTTTAAAATAATTGTGAGATGTAGAGCAGCAGTTCTCAACCAGGGGTCTGAGAACAAGTAGGTTTCGGGGGGTCTGCCAAGCAGGGCTGTCAATAGACTAATTGGGGCTCAGGGCAGAAAGTTGTAATTAGGCTACCCTGAACCCAGCTATCTTGGGCTGAAGCCAAAACCTGAGCAACTTAATTTCTGGAGCCCCATGCAGTGGCTTTGCTTGCTACTCCTTAATGTAGACTTTTATATGTAGAAAAACAGCTGTGGCACAGATGGGCTGTTGAGTTTGGATGTTAAATTTCAATTACTCAGCTAATCGAGTAGTTGATAGAATTTCCATCCACTACTTGATTAGTCGATGGGGCAGCACTTGCTATCCTGTTGCGCCTCAGCCTTTGAAATGTAGAAGAGCCACCCATGTGTTTTGTACGTTTCAAAGGGTGAGGCGCCACAGGGACCGAAGCAGTTCCTGCTTGCGTGGGATCCAAACTGCTGCGCCTCTCCTTTTGAAATGTAGAAGAGCCTCTGCTCTCTTCCCCCCCTCCCCTCCCCCCGCCTCGTGGTGACGATGCTGGGAGGAACTGGCTCCTAAGCCAGCTCCCCCAGCACCGGCTCCTGCTCTCTCTCTCCTTGGTGCCTCAAATACAGAGGAAGCAAGTGAGAGGGAAGTGGCTAGTCAAGTAGTGATTCGACTACCTGATGAGCATAGGTTTCTTGGGTAGTGGGCTAGTCGCTTAAAACCCTACTGTGAAGTTTTTATTGTATGTTGGGGGAGCCTTCAGAAAGAAAAAGATTGGGAATCCATACTGTATTCTGATAAATGATACATAGGACATTTTTATTTTATTATTACTATTTTTATAACAAGAAGTAGTTTATAAAAATCTGTGAATTTGTTACTAAATGAAACTTCTGAAATAATTCTGCATTGAAAATTAAGATATTTGAATCAAGATTGGTAGCAAAGATCCTGATCCTGCCAAGAGATGTAAAAAATTATAATTGTATGCATATTCAGCAATATATAGTAGCAGCTCAAAAAATCTGTTTGAACATTTTTCATAACCCAAAAAGAGAGGTGCAACTAAGAGAGAGTGCCAAATGGCTCCTGAGAGGTAGTCACCATCACTGTTGTAGTGTATTGCAGTTTAGCTTGTGTAATTTAGGCTCTCATAATATCACTGGTGTTTCAAGGTAAACTTTTCTCCCCCCACAAACATACCGTTTTCAATTCTGTAGACTGAGGGCATTTACTAGACTTTTGTGCCTCAACTGATTTGATTGCTTGGTTCAGATGGGGGAAGAGGGAGGCATGGCCACTCAAGCCTTCAAAGCATTACGTGCCCTGAGTTAATTGGCAATCAAAAGTCTAGAGAACACAGGTCCTTAATGTAAAGCTATGGCTGTACCTTCCTTTCTGAAAGTGTGTGTGACAATGAATGTTAGCTATGTTGCTGTACAGTCCTATTCGAGGCAAGGCCCTGTACTTTTACAATGATATAGGTGGTCATGATCAACCCTGGATAGGAGTATGTAGGGTAGACTTTACATTTAGTTGTGTGATAGAATGACAACCATCCATCTTAAAAGACAATAGTGTAAGCACGACAAGCACTTACAAAGTCCAATTCTGAAGTGACAATAGCATGCTCCAAATAATGTGGGTGTAAAGCCAGGAGGCAGAAGAAGCATTACTAGTGCTTAAGGTCTGCTACATTTCTCATCTGTCCGCTTCCTGTCTGTGAACTACCTCCTATCTTCGGCTTATTTGGCTCTGTGGTGTGGCACAGCCTTCTGTTATAGCCTGTTGCTTATCTGCATCTTCTAAGGGAATTAATCAAAAAAATTAAAATTCAGCACATGATAGTCTAAACTTTGGTAAAGTTCAGCATATTTTGTTTGTCAACATAATAAACATACTAACCATATAATCACACAATTTTCAATTATTTGCTGCCAACTAGTTTGAAATAAATTACTAAAGGAATTGAAAATGTTGTTAGTGTTTCTGTTACTTTGACAATTAAAAAATAAAAAGCCTTTGCAGAATTCTAAAAATTTTAGTTTTTTGGTGCAGAATTCTTTCTAATATCAGTTCTATGTGGTGCAATCTCACTGCAGACAGCTTGGTGTAGAATCTTGATGCATAGGGGATCAGTGCAGGGGGAATGGAACTCTATAGAGATGTCCAGATGAAGATGGTTGGGGCTCAGTATGGGAGGAGGGCTGTGGTGGTGCTGTAAGGGTGCAGCTTATCGGGGGTTCATGGGGTGGGGACCTTGGTTTGGGAAGATCCTGGCACATGTTGAGGCTTAGTGGAAGACAGAGTTCCAGGTGCAGGTGGCTCTTGATGCAATGGGGGCATGGTTGGAGAGGTTCCAGGTTTGTGGATGGAGGAAGGGGTCACTGTACCCCTCTCCCTGATGCTCCCCCATATGCTCAACCCTGGTGCATTTGGACCATTGGAGCATCTGCAAGTTTTCCATACAGGTGACCTTTGAAATGTGTTCATTGTAGCCGGATTATCAAGCCAATGGAGGTATCTGTTAGGGAAGTTAATCAGCTAATTGAGTAGTCAATGGATTTTCCATGGACTACTCCATTAGTTGATAAGGAGGGAAACTGCAGGAGAGAAACTGCAGAGCTGCAGTAGGGTTAGCTTCCACCCCGGGCTCTGATTTTTAAATGTATTAAGAGCTTCCAGACACAAGCTGGTCCCCTGCTACTCCTTTATCTCTTTTGCCCCTGAGATGGTGCTGTGGGGAAGTAGCTTCCTCCATCAACAGCTCCTGCATTCCCTCCACCCCACTCCCGCTGGCGCGGTGCCTCTCTGATAGGGGTTGGGGAAATGACTAGTCGAGTCACTACTCAGCTACCCGATAAGCAAGTATATGCTTGTCAGGTGGTCGACTAATCGCTTACATCTCTAGTTGTCTGTGTTTTGAGACTTGGTAATTTTCTTAAGTACAGGCAGTCCCCGGGTTACGTATAAGATAGGGACTGTAGATTTGTTCTTAAGTTGAATCTGTATGTAAGTCGGAACTGGCGTCCAGATTCAGCCTGTTGAAACTGATCAGCGGCTGATTCCAGGAAGCCCGGAGCAGAGCAACTCTGCCTCGGGCTTCCTGTAGTCAGCGCTGGTC